GATCAACCTGGCTGCCATATTTTGAACTAATTGTAGTTTCCGAGTTAGATATAAGGGTAGCCCCATGTAGAGTGCATTGTAGAAGTCGAGTTATGAGGTTACCAGTGCATGTACTACAGTTTCTAGGTCCCTTACTTCCAGGATAGGGCGCAGTTGGAGGGTGTATTAGCGAAGCTGATAACAGGCACTCCTGACTGTCACATTCACCTGATCTGTCATGTGAAGCAACGAGTCCAGGAGCACTCCCAGACTGTGGACACAGTCCTCGGTGGAGAGCATGACCCCATCCAAGACTGGTGGTTGCAACCTGATACCTGGTTTGAGGCCCCTATTGTAAGTACCTCCGTTTTGTCCAGATTTAGCTTTGGTTTTTCCTCATCCAGACCATTACCACTTCAAGATACTGATTCAGGGGAGAACCACCATCTGCCATCATGGCAGCTGACTGAAACATGGAGCAGTATATTTGGGTGTCATCAGCATATTGATAACACCCTGCTCCATGTCTCCTGATGATCTCTCCCAGCAGCTTCATATAAATGTTGAACAACATCGGGGACAGAATGGCGCCCTGTGGAATGCCACATTTTAATTCTATTTTTGAAGATTAACTGTCCCTGAGTGACACTCTCTGGAACCTGCCTCAGAGGAAGGAGCAGAACCACTGAAGAACAGTGCCCCCAACTCCCAGCTCTCTCAGGCACTCCAGAATAATGACATATCTATTGTGATGAAGGCCACTGAGAGGTCTAAAAGCACCAACTGGGTCACGCTACCCCTGTCGGTGCTATGGTGTAGGTAATCTATCAGAGCGGCCATGGCCGTCTCCACCCCATATGCAGCCACTCACTCATAGACTACGAGGTTGTGAGTTAAATACTAGCAAGGGCTCAGGCTAGACTTAGACCTGCATCCTTCTGAGGTCGCTAAAATGAGTAACCAGCTGTTGGGGGGCAATGAGCTTACAGTTGCAAACTGCTTAGACATCCCATAGCGCGATATGAAGCGGTATATAAATGAAGCTGCTTTGCTTTTTGCTTTGCATATCCAGGTCTGAAGCCAGTTTGAAATGGATCTGGAAAATCAGTTTCATCTAAGATCACTTGGAGTTGAAATGCAAGGGCTTGCTTGATTACCTTGCTCAGGAATGGTAAATTAGAGACTTTTCTATAGTTTTTCAAGTCCAGGGGGTCCAGAGAATGTTTCTTCAGAAGTGGTCTAATGACCACCTCCTTTAAACTAGATGGAACAAATCCTTCCCTAAGGGATGCATTGATGACCTTTTTCAGAAAGGCCATCAAGACATCACCCCCCAGGATGACCAGCCATGATGGGCAGGGATTGAGGGAACACGTTGCCTTCCTCACCTTCCCAAGGATCTTGTCCACATGCTCAGTAATCACCAACACAAACTGATCCAGTTTAATCTCAAAAACGGGATTATTGGACACCTCTCCAGTCACTTCTGCTATAATTCCGGCATCTAAATCAGCTTTAATCTGAGAGATTTTATCTGTGAAATAGTTGTTAAAAGCATCACAGCAGGCTGTTGTTGGGTTAAGTAAAGGGTTCTGCACAGGGGGAACCTGTATCAGTTCCCTCACCACCCTAAACAGTTCTGCTGGATGAGATTCTGCCGACACAATACGTGCAGAGGAGAGAGATTTCTTCGCTGCACGTATTGCCTCTCAATAGGAACAAAGAAAGTTCCTATGACAAGTCTTGTCAGATGGGAGTTGAGTTTTCCTCCAGATGCACTCTAGTCATTGTCCAATCCACTTCATTTTCCTAAGTTCATCTGTGAACCAGGTATGTCGATTTGGAGTGAGTTGGAAAGAACGCTTGGGAGTGATCATATCGATAGTCCTAGTAAGTTCAGTGTTCCAAGTATTCACCAGAGCTTTGACAGGGTCTCCGGCTTTACCAACCAAGGAACCTTCCAAGGCTTTTTGGAATCAAAATGGCTCCATCAGCCTTCAAGAGCGGACCATTCTAATGGGTCCTCCACCCCCAGTGGGATGGGCAGTGGCTCTTAGTCCAACCTTGACCAGGAAATGATCCGTCCATGACAGTGCAGAGGTATTTCTTGGCTTTATAGCCATGCCCGCCCTCGCTCGCTGCTGCTGCACTGCCAGTATGGAGATGGAGTCAGGGCTGGGCAGGATAGATGCCCACAAGCCCTTCCGCCATTGGTTCTGTGGCTTGGGAGGGGGAGATGGTGTCCTGGACTTGGCTTTATAGCTGCACCCACCCTCGCTCACTGCCACTGCACTGCCAGTAGGGAGATGGAGTCAGAGCTGGGCAGGAGACACTCCCACAAGCCCTTCCGCCATCGGTGCTGTGGCCAAGGAGGGGGAGATGGTGTCCTGGGCTTGGCTTTATAGCTGTGCCCGCCCTCGCTCACCGCCGCTGTGCCCCCGGTAGGGAGATGGAGTCAGGGCTGGGCAGGAGACATGTCCAAAAGCCCTTCTGTTGTTTCCCTTGGGTGTCCCTAGGGTCAAAACAGTTTGAAACAAATATTTCTCTATGGGTCATGGAAGCACTTTTGCCATATTCATTCATTCATTCATTCATTCATTCATTCATTCATTCCCAAAGAGGACCTTGCTTCCTTTTTACAAAACAGGAAATGAACAGGAAGAAGATTTTGGTCACCTGAAATAGAGATTCAAAACTGTTTCCCAAGAGAGTACAAAATCAGTTTACTGGGATTTAGATCTGAACATCTCCCAGCTCCCCCTGCTAGGTAGAAAGCATAGCGAGAAATACATGTTGAACTCTTGTTTAGTTAAGGAACAACAACTGTGAGAGGCTAGGGACCACATTAATCCTGCCCTCAGGAGAGAAGTATCCTCCATTGCAGCTTATTATAAAATAAAATGAAACAGTTTTTTGTGGGTTTTTCGGGCTGTGTGGCCATGTTCTAGAAGAGTTTCTTTCTGACGTTTCGCCAGCATCTGTGGCTGGCATCTTCAGAGAAAATTTCTCTGAAAATGCCAGCCACAGATGCTGGTGAAACATCAGAAAGAAACTCTTCTAGAACATGGCCACACAGCCCGAAAAACCCACAAAAAACTATGGATATCGGCCATGAAAGCTTACAAAATGAAACAGTGTTTTAGCCCCCAAATATGGGAACAAGAAGTGATGTCTGGTCACTTTCACTTGCTAAAAAGATCTTTCCTGAACCTAAAATGGCCCAGGAGCCTTCAAAACATGAAAAAAATGCCTCCCACAGCCCCTAGGACAGTGATAGGGAATCTGAGTGCCCAAACTGCAACCCAAACCCCACTTATTTATCTCAAAGTGCCACATCACTCTGGCTTTCTAGTAACAAACTCTAGTGAACTCTGTGCTAGATTAACAGCATGTGTGCCCACAGAGAGGGCTCTGAGTGCCACCTCTGTCATGTGTGTCATAGGTTCACCACCACTGCCCTAGGGCTTTCTTGAAGGCATTTGGAAGCAAACTTTTTTTTTTTTTTTTTTTTGCAGTGAACTATAATGGGAGGTGCACCTCTCCAGGTGTCTTGGGAGGATAATGTGGCCTATAGACTGCCATGTGGCATAATGGTTTGAGTGTTGGATTGTGACTCTAAAGACCAGGGTTTGGTTCCTGATTGGCCATGAAACCTATTGGATGACCTTGGGCAAGTCACATACTCTCAGCCTCAAAGGGAGGAAGTGGCAAACCCCCTCTGAACAAACCTTGCCAAGAAAACCCCATGATATTCAAGCCTGTGATATCCCCACTACATATACCATGCACCCACCCTAGTGCTTCAGTTGCTGCATTTTGATGAGACCACGTCTCATCATTATGACCTTAGGGTCACCATAAGACAAACATGACTTGAAGGCACACAGCAACAACTGACTGTCACAGTTGTCCACCGTTGCCTAAGGCACAGGCCAAAAGGCCTTCCCCCCGTCCCTGTTCTGGCAATGTCCTGTTCAGATGATGCATGGCCCAAACTCTGGTTTTGGTGTGAAAGATCTGGACACCATCTGGCATGTTCAGCACTAGAACCAGAGTATAACACCCTTAGCACAAATTTTACCTATTACTCCAGTCCTTCTAGGAAGAGCTAGAACTCTGAGTTCCCATGCCAGAGTTGGCTGTCTATATGTATGGTGGCTGTCTATATGCATGTCCTGCTGAGTCACATGGCACATCTACCACTGTGGTCAGTCACTCACTCAGACATCAGAACAAAGTCCTCAGACATGTGATTGTTGATGGGTGCCCTGTTCTGACCTCAGAAGTGAGTGACCCTCATTGGGGGGATGCATTGGGTGGCTCAGTGGGATGTGTTTTCAGACAGCTTCCCTAGTGTAGGAATGGAGGACCAGGTAATGAGGAGTGGTGAGGTTGGGTCATCTCTGGGGCCAGGATTAAGGCTAGTACAGAAAGGCCTTAAACAATAATTTAACACAAATTCCTTAGTATAACTTCTATATAATGGGGAAAACTTGGAAACTTTCTGATATTAAGACCTAAACTGTGATATTAAGACCTAAACTCCACTAAAATGATGTTGTTTTGAATATTTCCTTCAAACCTTTTTGGCAAAATCTAGCAGCCTCCCTGTTGACCTGTGCTGAAATGGAATAATAGTTTGTTTTCTGTGCAATATTGTGGTTTTATGATCTTTCTTTGGATGCCTCTGCACTGCAGAAATAATCCAGTTTGACACCACTCACTAGAACTGCCATGGCTCAATGCTATAAAATTCTGGGAATTTTAGTTTTGTGAGACCTATAGATTTCACTGTCAAAGAGCTCTGGTGCCACAACAAATTACAGTTCCCAGAATTCCATAGCATTGAGCCATAGCAGTTCAAGTGATGTCATACTGGATTATTTCTATAGGGTGGATGCAGCCTTTGTTTTGTTTATATTCTGTTATAAAGTCACCATGAAGGTAATCACTTTTATAATGAGGTATGTTGGGGAATAGGGTTGTAATGAATCATTTGAATCTTACCCTTTTTATTTTATTTCATCTTGTTTTTGCCCATGATGGAACCAAAGTGATTATTTTTCATTCTGGTGGTAGTTTTCAGTAGCTGGACTTGGCTATTTCCTTGACAGTGTGCCTTGATGGATGGAAAGACCCATTGTCATCAAGAACCAGTAAATTCCTGAGTATTCCTCACATCTTGAGAGGACAGCAGAATATAACCTAAATAATGAAATCAATGGAAATCACTTGGTACATTGTTGAAAGGAAATCTCTCTTTTTTAAAAGGAAGGAAATCTTGACATAGAAGGACTTTCATTTTGACCACTTTTTGTAGGTCTTCCCTGAAAAATAAATTGCTTTTGAATTTCTGTAAGATTACATCTCTAATGTGCTTCAGAATAAATCATTTGATTTCATTTAAAGGATGAAACCTTTCAATCAGAGCCCCCACCCTAGTCCCCAGTAGGAGTGGAGCTTGGCAAAGGTGATTCTTAAGACTGTCATTCACATCCAGTCACTGGCCATGCTGGTTGGGGATTTTGCTTTGAGTAGGAACAGAAGACAGCCCTATTCATGCAGAGAAGGCTGTGTGATTTTGGCTGACTCCCTCCTGTACTCACATAACTGCACTTTCATTTTCTTCATTGCTGACTATTCCAGAGGGATCATCTGCATAGCAGTGCAGTACAAGAGATTGCTAGAGGAACGGTTGTATGTGAAAGCTTCCCAGCACAGAAGCTCTCTGTGAGTCTTGGGAATAAGCCCCTAATCTGTGAGCACTTTTGATTTAATGAAGCAGCAGTTAGCATATATGTTAGAATTAAAAACCTTTTGCAAGCCTATACTCAGTATTTGCTAGTCTGCATGTTACCTTTTAGGAGTTTAGGCACAGCACAGCATATATGGCTTGGGTCCAATTTATCTTCGGAACCGCCTCCTCCCATATAATCCTCCCTGCGCACTCCGGTCCTCTGGGAGGAATTTGCTTCAGCCACAAAAATCTAGGCTGTCTGCAACCTCCCAGAGGGCCTTTTTGGTGATCACCCACAGATTATGGAATGGCCTGCTGGACGAGATCCGTCAGATGACGAGCTTGAGTAGCTTCAAAAAGGTGTTAAAGATGGATTTCTTTCAGCAGTCCTTTCCTGACTAGATCTTGGCCTCAGGAGCTGCACCCTTGGTCTTTTGTATCTCTGACTTGCCTGCTGTTTGATTCATTATATTTGTTTATTCTATGTTATTTTAAGATTTAGCTGGATTTTAATGGATGTTTAGTTTAATATGTTTTTATGGGGGAGGGTGGGGGTTTGGCGCTTTTAGATTGTATTGATGTATTTTTAACTGCTGTAAGAGACCCTTATTGTTTTTAACAGAGGGGTGGGGTAAAAATAAATTATTATTAATATTATTAGTATTATTTAGAAATTTATTACAATTTTAAAAATGGGAGATTATCGCATTGCTTTTAAAGTACCTTGTCCTTGATGGGATAAAGGCACATTTTATTTTAAAATTGGGTGTTATTGCACTCACTAAAGGCCAGGCAAATGAGACCCATATGCAGCCTGAATCTCAACTGTGCTTATCCAATGGCTTGTCAAATATGGCAAAATCTCATTTTTGAAAAGCTACTTGATAAGTGTGGCTGGGACTTGGGTTGCATATAGGTTGCATTGGCCCCACCACTGGTGAGAATGATAACAACTTGTTTTAAGATTAAATGAGCCTTTATCCCATCATGGATAAGGTGCTTTAAAAGCAATGTAATAATCTCTTCAGATAGGAATGCCTTGAATACTAAAATTCAGCATGGGTTTATTAAAAACAAGTCATACCAGACTGAGGAAGCCAACAAAGCATAGTGGTTTGAGTGTTGGACTATGACTTTGGAAATCAAGGTTGGATTCTCCACACCATGAAACCCATTGGGTGACCTTTGGCAAGTAACATGCTCTAAACTTAGGGGAAGACAATGGCAAACCTCTTTTGAACAAATATTGCCAAGAAAACTCCATGATAGGGTTGCCTTAGGGTCATCATTGGAAATGACTTGAAGGCACACCACCACCACCACCACCACAACAACAATGTGCCAGACTATTCTCTCTCTCTCTTTGATAGTCACAAGCTTGGTAGATGAAGGGAATGCTGTAGATATAGTATATCTTGTTTTCAGTAAGGCCTTTGACAAAGTGTCCTATGATACACGGGGGTGGGGGGAGCTAGTAGAATATGGGTTAGATAATGGGACTCTTAGGTGGATTTGTAATTGGCTGACTAACCCAACCCAAAGGGCACTCAACAATGGATCCTTCATATCCTGGAGAGAAAGCTTTAGGGTTCTGTCTTGGGCCTAGTGCTATTCAATATCTTTATCAATGACTTGTATGATGGAATAGAGGGCATGTTTATAAAATTTGCAGATGACACTAAATTAAGAGGGCTAGCTAATTCCCCAGAGGAAAGGAGCAGAATTCAAAATGACCTTATACAAATTAGAAAGCTGAAACCAAATTAACAAAATGAATAGGGACAAATAGGGCAGTAAAAATGAAATGCACAGATATAGGATGAGTGACATCTTACTTAATGACAGTACATTTGAAAGAGATCTAGGAGTTTTAGTCAACCACAGGCTGAACACAAGTCAGCATCATGTGATGTGGCAGCTAATAAAGTCAATGGGCTGCATCAGTATGAGTATAGTGTCTAGATCAGGGGTAGGCAAACTTTCCCCTTTAAGGGCTGAGGGACTTCAGCTCCCAGAATCCCAGGAGCTATTGGCCAACATGGGACTATTGGCCAACATGTCTGAGGCTTCTGGGAGCTGAGGTCCCTCGGCCCTTAAAGGGGAAAGGTTGCCTACCCCTGGTCTAGATCGAGGGAAGTAATAGTACCATTCTATTCTGCTTTGGTCAGACCTCACTTAAAATATTGTGTCCATTTCTGAGCACCACAATTCTAGAAGGATGTTGACTAGATGGATTGGGCCCAGAGGAGGGAGACCAAAATGGTGAAAGGATTCAAAACCATGCACTAAGAGGAGAGGCTTAGGGAGTTGGGTATGTTTAGCCTGGAGAAGAGAAGG